CTAGTTGTTATGCACTAAGTATTGTTAATTGTTTTTTTTTTTTTTTTGGAAGTTCATTACATAGGTTACCATCAAAACACAACCGCTCTTTCCATAATAAAACGCGTATTGAGTTTCATCTATGTGTGTGTGTGTGTGTGTTTGCATCTTCTCCGTTGTTTTATTTGTTTTATGGTCGCAGTGTCGTATGTTGTAGTGTAAAACATAGTTGAAGCATAGATTATTGGGTGGTTGGAAATCTTAATTTCACTGTTTATCTAAAACAGAACTTTTTCCGCTTAATAAAGTAGCCCGTTAATGCGACGTTGTATCCTACATAGCTGAACCTTAAACTGTAGTTCGTTATTTTATTTCCGAGAACTTTGCTCGAACTGCTTGTATTTTGGGTTTTTAGTCGTTTTGTCATTTGACTCATACATTTTATGATATGGTGATCTCTCTCTCACCACTCCTTTTGTTTTTTTCGAGAATTTTTGTAGTAATTCAAAACTATTAGACCAAATCCTTCCTCAAGTATTTATTTCCTAATCATAACTCGAAGATTCAGAGATTTAATTGAAATGTTTTTGACGGGACAGTTTCTCTTTGCTAATGTTTTGTGAAATAAATTTTTTTTTTGTACATAGAATTCATCACAAAGAAAATGAGTGGCGCAGTAATGAGGTCAGAAGTGATTAATGTTATTAATGTTCGAGACATTTACCCCAAAAGGTAAGTGATTAGAGTGAGGGTGTATTTCATGCTTTACGTGTGGTTCCTCTATTTCCGCTCCTGATAGGGTATAAGGGATTTCATAGATTTTTTAAATCTGTGGATAATGGAATACGTAGTTTGTCATCCTAGGATAAGGATGTGGTTTATGGCGTATTGACGGTTAGATCGCGTGTGGATGGTTCAGTAGTGATGTGAGTCGATCTAAGCTCTGGCAGTGAAGGGAGCAACCGACATGTAAACTAAAATCTAGAGAGCACTAAACAAACGGAATCAGTTACATGATTTTCATTGATGGGACGTTCCTCGGTATCCCGTCCTAGGTCAGTTGACGCTTATACAGTTACATATCTGAAGTAAATGTGTGTCAAGTCCAGACCTCCACAACTCGCTTCGCTATTACTGGTAGGCCTTTAGTTCGGGATATACAGGATTGTCATGGTGATCCATCCTCGACACTAATCAAGTAGTCAGTCCGACTCAAAATGAGTAAAACTTTTATCATTATTGTTAAATGAATATAAAGTACGCAAGCCAAAAAAATTGCCATCACAATTCCCTTTAACTGTGAATGTAGTAATGATGAATTTACCCCTGTTTACACTCAGCAATAGTATGAATGTACAGTAGGATTGTATTCTGTACTAATCAGCACCTTTACTTTTTTAACGACATCACCAACCAAGCAGCATCCAGCTCCAAAACATCAAAATCGGGCTCGACTGCTTTCACAGTATCAAAAATTTTAGATGCATCATGAAATTGATAAAATCATTTATCATGTGAAACAGCAAATCATAACTATCAGTTACACGGAGGTCTTTGGCAAGAAGCATTAAGTTTCTGCTCTTGAATAATGCTGTGCATGGAACGCACAGTGAGCCCCTTAGTGTGGCCTTCCATATGTAGTATCGATCTTGGTCCGTAATCTTCAAATCTCGCCGTCCAATCCCACAACCAACAATAACCATCGTTCTTTGATGAACCACTACTGAACGTATATAAGTATAGACAAACAGCCTTAATGAAGACAATTTCTAAGCTATTACAAAGATAAAAATGGTAACTTAGAGATAACTTTAAAAAAGAAATACCAATTTCTAATTTCCACCGTTTTCCAAAAATCTACACAACAGTGAACTTCTTTGAACTGCTCACTAAAAAAGGACGAGCGATTACGTGGGGCAGTAGGATCAAATGCATACAACATTTTTTGCCCTTTTGACCAGCACATGATCCATGGATCTGAAGTACGATAGATAAGGACGTAATTAACGCACATTTACAACAATTTTTTCCACAAAAAAAAATGAAATGCTTACAAAAATCTGAAAGAACGCTTAGCGTCTTTTTCTAGGAAAAGATTAGGATAAAAGCTTCCAGTATCATGTTACTCATTCAATATTGTAAATAAAAGAGTACGGTCAACTTCGAGAGCTCGTATAATAAAATCTAGCTTCCACGGGCATACCCTTGCTATGAGAAACTAATGAAAAAAAGGAAACAAACTTATTAAGAGTGATGTGATTCGCATTCCGCGGCAGTAAAAAAAAAATGCAGATGATTCTTCACCCTCCTTTAATACTGCGATTTCTTCACCATTTGCACGAACAAGATGAAATCGTTCCATTTCCGAATTCATTTGATCCAGTTTAAAGACATAAAAAAGTTTGAGTACAATGATTCTCGTGACCAAATAAATTTATTGAAGGTAAAATACAAATATTAAAATATATTTATATTTAACATTTAATGAACATTAGTCCTTCCAACGAAGAAGGAAAAACATTCTTACATTTGTGATAAATTTGAAAACTGTTCAAAAAACATAAAACTGCAAGAGAATTTGTTTCCGTATAATTGGTTTTGATTACTAATAGCTAAAGTACTTGGAATATATTGGTATAGTAGATGAATAATGCATTAAAAACACTGCATTTCAGTTAACTGATCAAAAAAATAGTTTACTTTTGCAACATGAACTACTGCGAATCTTTTGTCTGATGTCACAGATTCTGTTTGGATGGCTTTACACATTTTTTCAGCTGCCGCCATTCGGTCATCAAATGAAAGCGAGGAAACATCATCACCACATAGCACTGCTGCATCAAGAATTCGTATCGTCGGTTGCTTACTTTCTAATTTACCATTCTGATGCAACTGCAAAATAAATCAAACTGAGAACTGATTAAAATTCCTCGTTTTCAACTGCTCTTAAATGAAATTCCAGTTGAAACAAACCGAAAAGAATACTGAAAAAAATTTTGAGCCAATATGCAACATTTTAATGAAATGGCGATCAAAACGGGAGAAAAACTTGACCTGTTTGTAAAATTCAGAAATTTGGACCAGAAGCACTGTATCTCGTGGTATCTTGGCGACCAAGGGTATTTTTTCAAATTCTGCTTGACTTCGTGGCGGATGAAAGTAAATTCCTGTTTTCTTGAAAAAACACTAATGATAGCGCAGTTTTTTGGAGTAGAAAAATTAAAAAATTCACTACTGAAGGCAGAAAAAAAATTTCGATATTCAATAAATTTTTATAAGAAAACCGTCAGTGAAATCTTTGGTTTATAGCAGATCTACAAACTCTAAACAATAGAATTAATATGTAACTGATAACGGCAATCCTAATTAGACAACTGAAAACACAAATTCTATAAAATCTCGAGTTAATTACAAATAGAAAAGAAAACTGAAAACTGTTACGACTTATTAGAACTAAGTGATGATATCTAGATTAAAATAAATTTTAAAAAATTGAAACACTCGTAAATATATATGTGTTCATAAGGAAATGCCTACAATTGAAATCAATAAAACTGGAAGTTCTCTCTCTGAGAGAGCACACATTCGCAACTCAGCGTACCGCATCCGATTTGCCTTCGTCATTAACACTTCAGCATCAAAAGGTGGTGGCCTTGTTTTCAAATTATCGAGAAGGGAAATCTGCAAAATAGAATTTTAAAGACCAGAACGAATAACAGTACTGCAAACCTTGACCAATACAGACACAATTTGACTGCTATGTTAAACAAAAGCACTTAATTCAAACCTTAACGAGACGACCAACTGCTGCACACAAAGATTCCGTTTTCTGGTCGAATTCCTTCTTGTTAATATCAGGAACCTCCCAATAACCAAGACATTCATTTCTTAATCTTTCTTGGTCCTGATCTAGCAAACTTGTATTCTTAGCAAAAATTCGGTATTTAATCAGAGAGTTTGTTTGCTTTTTCATTGTTCTGTAAATAATTATACAGATCTCAAACAACAATAACATGCTGAGATGAATATTAATAGGCTCAAATTACATCTACATTTAAGAAAACAAAAAAAAAGTAATAATTAAGAAAACAAAAATTGAATAAGAAATTCTATCCCTATGCAAGTAGAGTAATTAAGGCTCATACAACTAATATCACATCACAGACAAACAGTTTATCACAATATTAAATTACTCAAAGACTTAATGCAGTATTATGAAACCATCTGATTCATTTCGAAAAAAGTGTTACGAAACTTAAAAAATTAATCTAGTCTAGCAGTTGGGATGCTTAATATATCTTGAAGAAATAACCTTTCATTGTGTTCTACGATATATGCTTTAAATTTTCTGTCTGCAAAGATTATACTTTCTGGAACAATCTCTAAAACATCTCGCTCCTTATTACCAGACAAACGATCCAATTCATTATTAATTTTTACCATGTATTTTTTTATTTCTTCAACATAACTTTCCAGAAGACTATCACATACAATGTATCTGAAAATAAATTGCAACTACTGACATATTTGGAAGAACAAGTGAAAATAGGACTGTTAAATTTCTGCACTCAGCATAAATATCGTTTATGTTACAATCTTCATTAGCAAACAAAATAAGTGTCATTTTGATATTAAAAGTTGATTATTGCTCAGATTTCAAAACATGATATACGATGAATTTAACTTTGCTAGATTTATTTCCAATCCTCTGAAACTACAGTTATGCTGAAATAGGTTCAGCGAAGTTAGATATAATTAAGTAATTTACAATAAGTTCACTAAAAACCTTTCTGAATTTGCAGGACGACTGGTGACCGGTTTATGTATTGATATTCTTTTAAAAGTAATATACATCAGATAAATAAGACCAACACTGAAAGGAGTCAAAATGTCGAACAATTTACAGACAAATCGTCCATCACTTCCTGGATTATCTGAATTCTTACGCAAAACAGAAAGACCAACCAAAAACTGACATAAGTAAAGACGCTTTGAAAGGATTTCCTGAAAGCAGTGAGTATTTATAAAAACTAATAATTGTTTACAACTTCAGAAACCAACTGCCACCAGCATAATAAGTGGGAAAAAGAATTAGCGCGAACTCAAACAGGAGTGCAAGATGGAAACAATTACCTGAATATTTTCCTGCTGATCAACACAGAATCCACCATCAGCCATCACTAGATCTACACCCACACCATTAGTACCACGCTTTACAACCTGTTAAATTTTTAGAGCGACTCTACAAAACACAAGTCATTTCGCTGAAAGTTACTAAAATCAGTGATTTTTATATACTAGAAAGTATGCATTACACTTATTCTATAAAGTGATAAAGAACTAACTTCCTCAAATGATGTAATATTTTCTGGCTTAGTAATATCCCCATCACCATGCTTACCATAATAACGCTCAAGAAAAGCAGGCGAAGCAGCTTTGAAACGATTTAATTTGAAATCATCTTTTCCTGAAAAATGAATTCTACCATAAAAGCATTCCAGTAAAAATAATACCTATAGATCTTAATTTTTTATATTTTCCCCCCAAAACTCTATGTTCTCCAAGAATTAAAGAACTAATAGGATTAAATCGTTTATAATTTAAAATTTAAGGAAATTCGTAAACATTCTTAACTTTCAATGTCATTCCGAAGCCTTTGGCATTATAGAAACGCTTTCTCCACAAAACATATTCAGTAAATCCGCCAGGACCCGCGCATATATCCGCAAAATAAAAAAGCGGAGATAATCGATCAATATTTGCATCAGAAACTCTTCTGTCATCTTTAGAATCAGTAGCCACAGGATTTTTAGTTTCCAAATTTCTTTTTTTTCTACCAGTTAGTAACCAGTCATAAATGCGATCCAAATTTGCCATTTTCACCGCTGCTCTTGATATTATTGAAAAATTAATTATATGATAAGTTTTAATTTCACATGAAAAGATTTCTAAGAGAATACATTAGTAAAAATTCGCCAAATGCAACAAAGTAAAAAAACAAAAACAAAACATCAATCAACAGGAAAGAAAATATAAATTTTTTCGAACAGAGAAAACGAGAACTGAAATTATGAAAACATACCGATTTTGAAAGAAAACAGAACGGATTGTCTCGTAAGGATTTGCTCGTGTTCGAGCGTCCATCAATACTCGAGCATTAATTTCATCGAAAGCTGATTTCGCACTCAACATTTTCTCCACTAAATCTTTGTTACAGTACTTGTATTCGCCATCTAATGTGTCCTTTCTCTGCAATACAAAAACTACACGAAATTTTACAATCTATTTAAAAACCTTTTATGCAAAGTTTGTTAACAAAATCTCCTCGACTCATTATTACTTTAGAAAATTTACGTGGAATGTAGGCAGAAATGATTAACTAAATAAACTTTAATGTAACTGTACATCATTTACAAAAAAGTGAATTATCTGTAAAAAATTAGTTTTGACAAACTTTCAATTTAATTTGATAAATACCTTACGAAGATAATAAGTAAAAAGAAACTGACGTCACCAATTGTAATCCAGCCATGAACTGCTGCTCTTAATTCATGCAAAAACTTCTCCCTGATGTCGGAATCAGCTGATAGCCACACAACATTCTCCTCCACAATTTTTTCTTCTTGTGGGAGAACCTCCGGAGCAAGCAAATCCCCATCAATCTTCTGAAGAAATAACTAACGAATATTGTTGTCTAGCAAATTCCTACTTTTAAATCCAATAACCGCAAAAGACTTTTGCTAATATAACACTGTTCAGTTGAGACTCTAGAGGTTTTGTTAGTAATACTTCGTGTATGCGGTATCCGAAGCCTTCACGGCCTCGGTGCGTTGACATTGGTATTGGTTCTGTGCGTCCTTGTCCTCTTTTGCCAAGACCACGTCCCTCATAACCCATTTTGAAAAGAATTTCAGCTCCTTTGCTCTCATGATCATATTTGGCCTGGAATGTTTTGCAAAGTCAGAGTAAGCACGACCTAACGAATGAATTAAGTTGGCTCAATGTTCCTCAATATTGGTCAAAGTTCATTCAAATAATGACTGGAGCGTTGAAATGATGAATATCACTAGAGTAAAAACTTCTTTTACAGCTAATTTCTCAAAATTTTGACAAATTGTTAATTTTCCCATATTAACCTTTTTCCTTGGAACTTCACTGGAAACACTGTCATCTTCCTCACTAACGGTTTTACTCCTATTAAATACTTTTTTTTTGCTAGTCTCCTCCTCAATATTCTCTCTGGTATCTTCCAGACGAGTTGTCAAATGACGCATTATCTGAAATAAAAATAAAAAATCACAGCGATTCAACATCTCAAAGATACACGGTTCATAAACAATAAGTATTTTTTACAAGAGTTACTTTTAAAGCAGTAAAAAACCTTTCCTAAACAAAAAATAATTTTAAAGTGACTATTTTGTAACGAGTGACCGAAGTTGGCCCAAGATCATCCTCAATGCTGGTCAAAGCTAATGAATGGTTCCTTTAAAAATGGCTGAAGAGTTAAAATGATAAATATTATCAGAGTAAAGTCCTTCTTCATAGCTAATTTCTCAAGATTTTGACAAATTGTTAATTTTCCCATATTAACCTTTTTCCTTGGAACTTCATTGGAAACACTGTCATCTTCCTCACTAACGGTTTTACTTCTATTAAATACTTTTTTCTCTACTTTTTTTTTACTAGTCTCCTCCTCAACATTCTCTCTAGTATCTTCCAGACGAGAAGTTGTTAAATGACGCATTATCTGAAATAAAAATAAAAAATCACAGCGATTCAAC